CCTAAGCCCTAAACCCTAAACTATATCATCGACAGTAATACTCCGGGGCCCTTGTAAAGAGATCCCGAACCCGAGGTCCCAAAAGCCGGAAACATCCCAGAAAGCCCCTCCTATGAACCTAATATAGGGGCCTAAATAATTACCCATACTCTTTTGGGGGCTCCTTATTATAGTTATGGTATAAGATACCCCCAAAAGCCTTCTTCTAGCTATCAAGGCCCTGAATGCTGTTGGGGCCCAAGGAAGCCTCTTAACCCTAAACCCTAAACCCTACACCCTGAATCCAGGTAAGACTCGGGATCCGCAAACTTGCACGACTCGAGGATGGAAGACAATCCTGACTTCATTCACTTTATACAGACGATGTGGGTGGAAGACCAGACAGGCACGTTCTGTGAGATTGAAAGGATTCCTGGGTGTAGGGTCAGCTTACGACGTTTATGGGTCTACAGGATTTTGTTTGTAATTGGGTCTTATCAGGCTGTATAGTACTGTATAGGGTGTGGAATGCTGTGGATATTCAACAAGAGCACAGTAGGTTGCTGGTAGCCAGCGGAGCTCGAATTAGGTAGCCACCTTAAACTATAATATCCTATCTACTGTAGGTGAGTTCTTGTTATTTGTTAACACCAATTTAGAATTTATGGCGACCCTACAGAATGTGGGGTTTGGTAGCATGAGTTAGCCATGAGCTCCTCTGAGAGGTCGTGTCGTGTCAATGCGCCACCTCTCACCTGCAGAGCCGGCTCCTGCCACGACGCTCGGTGCCAACAATCATACACATGGGAGGTTCCGAAAATTAGGGGTACCTTATATTGGGGTCCTTATAATAAGGATCCTGCTATTTAGGGTGCTATATTAGGGTCCCCTGTTTCGGGAAACCCCCACATGCCTCTTGTGCATCAACTGTTTCGGTTCAGTTTTTAAGCATTACATGATTCGATTCGTCAGGGTACTTGTACTTGGTTTTCATATCTCGTTTTCAAACAACTTCAATTTATATATATATATATACACACACACACTAGTGTATACGTGTGCTACTCGTATTGATACTCATAGTGAATACTGTGAATGGGCAAGGATACAACAATAAGGCTATGAGCAACTTCCTGCCCGATTCCCAAATCTAACAACCAGCCGTCAAGACAAATAGCATCATCTAGAGTCCTTTTCTGGGACTCTGTTTTGGTGGTGCCAGCCCTCAACAAGCAGAGACATTCCCAGTCTCAATGCAGTCCAAGTCAATCCGAAGCGCTACAGCTCCAGATAAGCCTCCAAGAAACTCTACACGAGAACGGCAAAGCCCAAGCCTCAACTGCAAAACACCGAAAATCCCAAGCTCTTACATCATCCTGAATCCCCCCCCCGAGGCATGGTGCAAGCGAGGGTTTCGGATTTTCGATTCAGGGTTTCGGGTTTTCGGAGAATGCTCACCTCGGCTTCGCATCACAGGATCCGATCTCATGCAAGCCCGAAGGTCCTGGGGTGTAAGCCCCCAAAATGAGCTACTTTGCTAAGATTCTTTTTGTACTTCTCTCTCTATATATATATATACACACACACCTGTATGTGTATATATATATATGTATAGATTTATTTATTTGTTTCCTGCAAACGGTACTTACGGTACTTGGGGTTCAGGTACGGAATACGCCCTAAAGCCCTGAACTCTAAACTCTAGGCACTTGCTGACTCTAAACCCGACAAGAACCTGCACCCTCCACGACCCAAAGGATCCAAGTTCTCAAAGTCATATAACCACCCAAAACACAACTTACAATTGCGGTTTTATTCAACCCAAGTACCCAACTGTTGGGTGCTTTGCGCCCTTGCCCCTATACAACCCCCGGGAACGCATTCAAATCCTTTACAAGACCCTGCCGTTTACAACCCACAACTACTAGGTACACTAGCCCGATTCCCTAAACCCTAAACAATTTCTGGGTATTTTCCACTATCGTATAACAAGCACAGAGTCTGGAGTCTCTTTGCAAAGCGTCCTGAAGTCACCATAAAATTAAGTGTGGTGTTATCAAGGATATTAAGCCTAATTATTGGAGTTTAATGACCCAGAGAAAGGGCGATGTCCAGGAGGCAATCAGACCCTGAGATACTGGCGGGGCCAGAACATTAGCCTCCATAGGAGTTCTACTATAATGTACCTCTAAAATCCGATTCTATTGCTAAGGCGCCCTGTGTGTGTGTATATATATATATATATGACGGGTCAGTAGTAGTTGGGTTCAGGGTTCGGGGTTTCAGCACGAGTGTAGTAGATTTGTAGGGCCTTTTTTGCTGAAGGAGGTGGGGCCCTAAATCCTAAACCCTAGTTTTGACTGGGTTTAGCGAGGCTTTGGGTTTAGGGGCGTGCTGCTGCTGCTGAAGCGGCTCAAAACGACCCCTTTGAAAAGAGAAGGAACCCTAACCCCCTCAACCTCAGACCGGGTCCTGCAGTGATTGGAGGCGTACCCAAAACCGCAGAAAAACCCTCAACCCTGAACCTTGTGCTCTACATCTCATAGGCCCTAAACCCTAAATCCCTAAACCCGAAAGCCGTAAACCTTGGACCTTGGCATCGATGTCTCATAGACCTAGGAATTTCAGAAAACTAGGGTACCTTATTATGAAGTCCTTATAATATGGATCCTACTATTTGGGGGTCCTTTTTTCAGGGTCCCTTTATTTTCTAAAACACCGACCTGGCTAGAGATCTCGGATACGCCATGTCTGCGGGCAGTGACGAAGCAGTGGCCTGGGCTGATGGAGGGTACCGTAGGAGTGTAGATGGTTAGTAGTACTAGGGGTGATGATATAAATCCTGCATTACCCCAAAATAAGGAACCCTAAACCCTAAACCCTAAATCCTGCATTACCCCAAAATAAGGAGTATACCATGATTCCCATAGCTTAGGCTAAGGTAATGCAGGGATTATATGATCAACAGGAGCCCTATAGCCCGGTCGAGGGCCCTAACTATAAGGTCCTTGGAAGCCTAGGGTAATAGACTGAATTTTATCAAAGCTCTAAGAAAATTACTCTGCCTCCTAAAGTGTCAAGGCATCCGGGGTTTTCTTGATTTGGCCATGGGGTCTGTAGCGTCGTTGCTGTCGGGGTTTAGGGCTGAGGGTATTCTTAGCAGAGTACGCGGAGCTTCCAGCACCTACTTGTTTGGCTGTTCAGTTCTATGTCTGTTCTAGGGTTTAAGAAAAGCCAAGACAATAGGTCATGGTAGTTCAATGTCACGCGTTGGGGTATAAGAGCACTAGGACATCGGGTGTTAGAGGACAGGGTCTCCGTGGCTCAGAAGCCAAGCAGCATACACCAAGACTGCATGTGCCTTTATGAAATATAGTGATGTAGTATATACCTTACTTCATGGATCCTTTATAAGACCGAAGTATATACTACATGCCTGCTAGGTAGAGATTTTCCGGCGTGCAATGCGTTATAACGGCACGTGTTACTCCAAGCCACGTTGACGTGATTTTTTTTACGAAGGACCACGTGAAAT